TTGGATGGTGTGTGTGTGTGTGTGTGTGTGTGTGTGTGTGTGTGTGTGTGTGTGTGTGTGTGTGTGTGTGTGTGTTTGAGGGGGCGGGTGTGTATTGTAACCTACATCAGCATATCACTCTTTATTTGGTTTATAAATATCTCTGACGGAGTGAATGGCTGAGTAATATTTAAGTTCATTAGACATTCAGACATGGTTAATGGGCACATTCTACAACGCCCCACCTGCTGTGTGCCAAACACTTTGTAATAAGAAAGTATAATTGTGTAGAATATAGAATCAGAGAGAGAGCAAACTTTCATCCTCATTTTGTTTGACTGTGCTCCATGTTTCCTACACGATGCTTCGTGTCGTGTCTCCTTTGGTTATAGGGAAATGAACTCTTCTTATGGAAACCTTGGACATCAGAGAACTTCTGTTGTTTCACAGAGATTTACACAATGGTTGAAACTAAGCTAAAATAGAAAGGTCTAAAGGGAGTCATTATGACATTTTTGAAGGTGTTTATGAGAAAAGACGATACTTGTGAAAGTAAATGTTCTTTATTGGCATTGAAGGTTTCGTGAAGAAGCTTTAACATTCATGGAATCTTTCCAGTGCAGGTTCCTTATAGTGGAAAAAGGTTCTTTAAATGATTAAAAATGTTCTTTACACTAAGAAAAAAACTGTGATTTTAAGAACTGTTTACTGGGAAATGTTGGGAACCAAAAATGGCATCGCTATGAAAAACCCCTTTTGGAACTATTATTTTTAAGTGAATTTCTAAGTAAGTGAATGTTAATGTCTAAACCAGTCTTAATTTAGTATACAGACATATTATGCAATTGTGTTTATATATATATATATATATATATATATGTATGTATCAATATTAAGCTTTCATTTTTATGTGTGCATATTTAATTGTAAGTTTTTTGTTGTTGATATATTTCAGTTTTTATTCCAGTTTTACTTTAAGTAATATTGGTACTTCATTAGGGCTGGGTATCGATTCAGATGTCCCGATTCGATTCGATTTTGATTCGCAAGCTCTCGATTCGATTCTCGATTTTTTTGATTACATTCAGTGAATATAGTTTTAATACAAATGCTACTGATATTACTAAAAAATGAACAGTAAACATCAGTTTACAAATGGTGAATTAATAAAAAGAAATTAAGAACCACATGCCTGTATTTTAAACCTATGCTTTTTTTTTGTATGGGTCCTTTTTAAAAAAAATAATAGGGCCCTATAAAATGTTCTTAATTTTTCTGGTAATCAGATGAAGGCATAAAAGATTAATTTAATTTATCCTAATCAAATGAAAAGTAAACCCTTATATTTTTTGGCAAACAAAGTGCTGCACAACAGAGGTTTACTGTTAAAATGAAAAAGAAAACAGATGTGATTATTCCTTTAAAAATAAAGATGTATTAATATTTATTAGCAGTAGTAGCATTGATTCTTAAGACTGCTAAATAGTAATATATTCTGACAGTTTCTTAACGTTAAACTAAACTTTTATTTTGACGGGTTGCCGTGAAGAACTTGCAGCTGCTGTGTATGTGATATGACGGTAGTTTTCTCAAATGAAACGGTAAATGCTAATGAAGTGACTCTCAGAGCAGCTGGAGATGACATTCGTGTTCATATCATCATATAGTGAGATGGCAGAAGCTGAAAACACCGCAAGCATCATCCGCGCTTTAGTATGCGTGTAGTAAACAAAACAGTGCGCCTCGCCATCCGCCATTCATTCATTGCGGAAATCATGGTACCTATGCGTGATATCAAATTCTTCCGCAGATTTATAGTGTTACTATAGCATTTCACCTGAGCATTGCGAATCACGCGTATGGCCATGATAAGTGCTAAATGAATGACAGGCTTTCTGTTGTAACATCGCGCAAGGTAAATAAGGGTGACATCTAGTGGAGAAGACTAATGATAAGATTCACGTTAATCAGATCTTGTTTTAAATGTGCTGAAATAAATCCCAGAAAAGATCGATTCGCGGCTTTTGAGAATCGATATCAAATCGACGTCATTTAAAAAAAACGATTAATCGGAAATTTTTTATTATTTTTTTTGCCCAGCCCTATACTTCATCTTATTTATCTCAGTTATTTCTATTTTCATTTAAGTGTTTCATTTTAAATGAAACTTTTTTTTGTGTAGGCTAATTATTTATCTCAGCTTTATTTCAATGAACTGAAATAGTTTAAAAAAAAATCAAATTTAATGGTTTTAGGTTTAAAGGTCCCATGGCATGAAAATGTCACTTTATGAGGTTTTTTAACATTAATATGAGTTCCCCTAGCCTGCCTACGGTCCCCCAGTGGCTAGAAATGGCGATAGGTATAAACCGAGCCCTGGGTATCCTGCTTCGCCTTTGAGAAAATGAAAGCTCAGATGGCCCAAACTGGAATCTTCCCTTTATGTCGTCATACGGGGAAAGGTTACCGCCACTTTCTCTGCTTTGCCCGCCCAGAGAATTTGGCCCGCCCATGAGAAAATGAGCTACTACCGTGCGAGGCCAGCACAATATATTTTTTTTCCTCGAGAGACATCATGGCTTGCAAACGAGGGAAGCATGGCAGTTGCCCCGCCTCTCTCCTCCTCATTAGCATTTAAAGCTACAGACACAGAAATGGCACGTCCTAAGGAAAGCTCCTTGTGGGACTGGCTCGTAGTGGCTGAAATTCTGCACCAAGGCTGAATTTTTGGGAAAGAGACTTCAGATACAGTACTAGGGACCACTTAGGCCTATATATAAGCATCTAAAAAGCAGCATGTCATGGGACCTTTAAGTTAACAATAAGAACACTGGCTTGAACAATATGAAAAATGCAGCACTTTCTATTAACACAAACTGGGAGTCGCTCAAACTCCCGCTGAAGCCCTCGCTGCGGTGGCTCAAACATTGTTCTCGTACTTAGACAGTTATTATGGGCAGCTTTCTCGTGAAATACACCCCTCTCTCTGACATCCTCTGTTGGTGCATGTTTCATTTCCTGCGCATTAGATGCTCTTTGTGTTGTTTGCATTGGACATGTCAGCCTTACAGAGAGGCCACAGTCTTAGATTTTCATTTGCGCAGTGATTTGATGTAGATTTTCATCTTATTAGATGTTTTGGTCAATGACGAGTGTTACTAGGTGTGTAGTATCCTAAATCTGGGCTTTAGTCACACATGTTTCGTAAGACACAGTCTAATCTCATTTGCAATTCTTGGGAATAGTCTGCTGGCCGCCGCTGCTGTTGTTATAGTTGTTGTTTCATAGTCAAAGCGTTGATGAGCTATTCTTGACCATTTTTTTCAGCTGCACTTAGACGTTGATTTCACTTAGGCAAGTAATGATGTGTTACCCATTTTTCTTAATAAACGTCTTGCAGTTATACAGTTAATGTGTCTTTATTCTGCAGGAAGTCAATACTTCAACAAAAGTTATGAAGCTCAAGTTCAGCTCCATTGTCAATAAAATGTATTTATTCCGATGAAAATGTAGTATGTACTGCATATGACTCTGTACATCAATATTGGCAAATGGCTTTGCTTTTTAAGCATCATAACAAATATGTGAATACAACACTCCATTTGATATGATATGTAACACCTGTTGCATCTCTCTAGCCAAGAAAAAGGTCTTTAGCCTGAATGAGGTTGAAGAGCTCTGGTCTAGAGTATTAAATAAACAACCTCCATATGAAATTAATTTAATTTATATATGATTTTTCCATGTCTTTTTTTTTTTGTTATGTCTAGTGTTATTTTAAAATCTGATATACGATTATAGTTTTTGTTGATTTTTGAATTAGGATTTATTTGTACATTTTCTGACTTCCTTTCAATTGTGTGTTTTTGTCATTTTTATTAGTTTTTTTATATGCCTATATTTTTTATTTAATTTTACAGTTTAAGTTTTAGTTTTTAGTTTTACATTTTTAAAATTTCATTTTAAATTAGAAAATTAAGGTTTTATCCATTTTTAAAAATATGTCTTTAGTTTTTAGTTTTATCTAATTTTATAAGTTTTAGTTTATTTAGTTTTAGTTATTTTAGCACTTCAACTTAAACTAAACGAAAATGAGATATGTTGCCTTGGCAACTAGCTGAAATAAAAAAAGTTAAAGTGACTGTTCTTGAATGGCCCAGCCAGAG